ATGTTTCCAAGTTATCTGGTCTTCTAATCATATCATAAACATTAATCTCAATGTCATCTTGTACTTGCAGGACATTTTTCATATTGAGATCCAGGATTTTCTATGCAAGTGATAAGGATAGAATTTCTAGAGATTCATGGAGTAATAAATTTGAAAAGGAGATTATATATTTAATGTACACATTCCATGGATTGATGTTAACCAAAATCTACAATTTCAAAATCAAATTACCAGAGAAATATATCCACATTGTCATAATATAACAATTCTCACTATACAAGTCTAATTTCAGAATATGGTGTTTATATTGTAAATTAATAAAAAAATATATTACCTGAATCATTGTTTTAATATACCTTTATATTGAACACACAATTTTTTTCCAAAATCCAGCCACTTTGGCTGGACGGTAAAGGGACGGTCTCGCTTCATGCAGGTCGGCGTTCAATCCCCGACCGTCCAAGTGGTTATGCACCATTCCTTCCCTCCTCCCATCCCAAATCCTTATTCTGACCCCCTTCGAAGTGCTATATATCCGCAATGGCTTGGCACTTTTCCCTGGTAATTTCCTCCTCCCTCCAAAATACTAGGCTATGCACTCAGACACAATATTATTATTTTTTTGGAGGAGGAGCCAATTGTGGCTCCCTTCCCTACCCAGAGCTACTATCTATGATAGTGTGTAATACTATCAGGTCCATCAGTTGCAGATTTCTATAGGCCTACCGAGGACCAGTGCCAAAACCTGGCCCTCCTCAAAGAGGTGCAGAGAGCATTAGCATTTATGTATTAAGTAATTCATCAATGCCACCCATTGAGAGAGACACTCAAAAAGTCAGGGAAACAAGGCAAACCACTACTGGCTTCAAACGAGACCTCAGCCTCCAGAACTGCTTTAAGAACATCCTCCAAAAAATATACTGGTATAAACAAACAATCAAAAATTGGTGAAATTAATGCCAGCTTATTTGTCCCGTCTCCCCCACTCATTTGGCCCACAGTGAGCCGGTCACTCCACTGTCAGTTGTGTCCTGATGGTAGTGTGTGGGGTTGCTCTATCATTCCCTTCCCCTGACTCCACTGTCTGCTTTCACCTGAGTGCTGGTTTTTGCCTTTGTCATTGTTGCTGTACACTTTGGTGTAGCATGAGCCAGGAGTTAGAGTGCTTGGAGTTACATGATAATTTGTGTTAATGATGACAACAAATATTTAAGTGTATTGAGATAGCACATTGAAATATTTCCTAAATATAAACAAATACACATGACAGATCTTGAAATTCATGATAAAAACACATTCAGAGTCTTTGGATGCAATTTTCGAGTGTCAGTGATTAAACTGCTGATAAATTTTATGTAATATTGACTAAATTCAGGTCATTTGAAGAAACTGCAAAATGTATAGAGTGCATATAGTATAATACTGTATTAGCAAACTGTCCTCGAGTAATTTCCTTGTGTTGATGGATTTAGAATGACTACATAATTAGTGCTATTATTTACTCTATCCATGGTTAGGTTTTATTACGTTTGGTTACATTAATACGGTATTAATATTGTCCAAAATGTGTAATAGATTCTCTTATCCCGTCCTAAATATATATATATATATATATATATATATATATATATATATATATATATATATATATATATATATATATATATATATATATATAAAAAGTTTGTGAGGGTACCACCTCTGGTGCCAATGTGGGGACCCATAGCCTCGGAGAAGAAAATAAAAAGTATTCAGAGGAGACCTTGTGGTTTCTCACTGAACACTAATATTATCTTCTCCTACCACCCCCATTCTTTTGTATGTACACATATATATTTACTTTATTTGAACTTTGTTACAAAAAAGGAGTTACATATAGGTTACAAAGATGGTTGTCATAGGTTGTCGAGTTCCTCCAGCTCCTCAGATGGCGGGCAGGAACCCTGGATGCAGTGCGCATTTCCCCTCTGTATCGCCACACTGAGGCGCTGGAAAAGAAAGCTTGCAGCTCTCGGGTCCCTTGTTGTTTCAATGAGCCTAGAACCCAGTTCCTTCAAAAAACTGGTAGCACTTTTACCCCAGGCGCCGAGCGTCTCAGAAGCAATGGGGACAAAATTGTAGTGGTGATCCAGTTCTCTATACTTACGGGATTTGGCTGCTTCCCTGTGGGTGGCAGCGCCACCTGGTTGTGCAACACTGAGGTTAATGTAGGTGTTAGCCAGGGTTGATACGCACGTGTAGTCCCATACCAACTGCTTGCCATTCTTCCAGGGGTTCACTGTGATACCATCTGGGCGACCGATAAGAGCATCAGAGTTACGGGGCGTTAGGTAACGGGGCTCTCTTTCAGCTGGGCATCCAGCTGTGGTGAGGCTCCTCTTGATGATGTCGTTAACTTCGCTGTGCCTCGAGTGCCATCCCCCTGTGCTTTGGCAGAGTAGGCCATGGTGACCGTACCTGTCAGCCACCACCTCGCCGCAAATACACCTATATCTGGTGTGGATTGGGGCAGCAAGGCGGAGGGCCACAGCAATTCGGAGGGCGTGTGGTGTGAGACGCGTGCCAGTTGCCGACATTGGGGTTGCTAACAGGAAATCCCCTGCATGTGGTGCTGCTACTGCTGTGAGGCGAGCAATGTCGTGTTGTGTTGTTGCAGCACCCAGGCACTCTGCAGCAACTTGGTCTACAATGGGACCATCCCAGCTGGATTGCTTGTGGGATTTTGGGGATGGTGGTTGAGGTGATTGGCCTGCACAAGAGGCCCACTCTGTGGCACAGCGTGTAAAATTGGGATCATGTACACCTGCCAGCTGATGTAAGTGGGCAGGTAGAATTTCCTTCACAAGGTCGTCGGATGCTGATAAGGAGGACAGGAAGGCTGGAACAGCGATTTGCGTTGCTGTTCGAACTCCGAGGCCCCCAAGTCTTACGGGAAGAGAGGCTTGTTTCCACTGTAGGTCATCGAGAGAGAGGTTAAGGGCTTTTTCTAGCATATATATATATATATATATATATATATATATATATATATATATATGTCGTACCTAATAGCCAGAACGCACTTCTATGCCTACTATTCAAGGCCCGATTTGCCTAATAAGCCAAGTTTTCATGAATTAATTGTTTTTCGACTACCTAACCTACCTAACCTAACCTAACCTAACTTTTTCGGCTACCTAACCTAACCTAACCTATAAAGATAGGTTAGGTTAGGTTAGGTAGGGTTGGTTAGGTTCGGTCATATATCTACGTTATTTTTAACTACAATAAAAAAACATTGACCTCATACATAATGAAATGGGTAGCTTTATCATTTCATAAGAAAAAAATTAGAGAAAATATATTAATTCATGAAAACTTGGCTTATTAGGCAAATCGGGCCTTGAATAGTAGGCATAGAAGTGCATTCTGGCTATTAGGTACGACATATATATATATATATATATATATATATATATATATATATATATATATATATATATATATATATATATATATATATATATATATATGTCGTACCTAGTAGCCAGAACTCACTTCTCAGCCTACTATGCAAGGCCCGATTTGCCTAATAAGCCTAGTTTTCATAAATTAATGTTTTTTCGACTACCTAACCTACCTAACCTAACCTAACCTAACGTTTTCGGCTACCTAACCTAACCTAACCTATAAAGATAGGTTAGGTTAGGTTAGGTAGGGTTGGTTAGGTTCGGTCATATATCTACGTTAACTTTAACTCCAATAAAAAAAAATTGACCTTATACATAATGAAATGGGTAGCTTTATCATTTCATAAGAAAAAAATTAGAGAAAATATATTAATTCAGTAAAACTTGGCTTATTAGGCAAATCGGGCCTTGAATAGTAGGCTGAGAAGTGAGTTCTGGCTACTAGGTACGACATATATATATATATATATATATATATATATATATATATATATATATATATATATATATATATATATATATATATGTTGTACCTAGTAGCCAGAATGCAATACTCGGCCTACTATGCATGGCCCGATTTGCCTAATAAGCCAAGTTTCCTGAATTTATATTCTTTTCTAATTTTTGTCTTATGAAATGATAAAGTTATCAATTTCACTATGTATGAATTAATTTTCTTTAATGTGAGTTAGAATTAATGTGGATATATGACCGAACCTAACCAACCCTACCTAACTTAACATAACCTAAACTAACATAACTAAGTCAATAATTGATGTTCTTAATATCATATAATAATAATATTACAAATAAACCAATTGGAAACAATATTTTGAAAATAAAGAAATTCACTTGCCCTATTAGGCAAATCGGTTTTCTTTTAAACATGTCTCCTTGAATATGACCGCATATTCTGTATTCACCTAGTTGTGCTTGCGGGGGTTGAGCTCTGCTCTTTCGGCCCGCCTCTCAACTGTCAATCACCTGTTTCTACTACTACTATTTTTTTTCACTCCACACACACACCCCAGGAAGTAGCCCGTGACAGCTAACTAACTCACAGGTACCTATTTACTGCTAGGTAACAGGGCCAAAGGGTGAAAGAAACTCTGTCCATCGTTTCTCGTCGGCGCCCGGGATCGAACCCGGGACCACAGGATCACGTGCCCAGCGTCCTGTCTGCTTGGCCACCGGCTCCCTGCGGTATTCTGTATTTACTATCTCCTGGTTTAGTGCTTCTATCCCTCTAACCATTATTCTTGCATCAGGGTTTAGTTGAAAGAGGAGTTCTCCAATATATAATAAAATACGCACCTTAATTTATGTAACAAATGAGCAACTAGTGAATTATGTTCTTTTTCTGCAAAACAAGTAAGCAATATCCTTTCAGTATTTACAAGTAATATTCGAGCAGTAGGAATCATCCTTGCGTCATTGGATATAGGTTTTATAAAATGCAAGCATTATATATATATATTAGAGTCGAAGCTGAAGCCGCAGTCGAGTGGTGGGATGTGAACAGTTTGGGGGGAAGCGGATACAGAGATAAGTTGTGAATTAAGGTGGGTTGGTTAGTGGCCCGTCGGCCGTGAGACGAGGAGGGTGTGTGTGTGTGTGTTACTGTCTACCTGGACTTGCCTTCCATATTACGCAAACTGGTTTATATTGGTTTCTGGTTCAACTGCGAGGTATGTAACATTTAAAAAATTATTACGATAATTAGAAAGTTTATTGACGGCTCCCCCATTGGAGCAAAGGTCGGTTAAATTAATTCTAACAGCGATGACGGATGATTGTAATACAGTAATTATCACTGAACATGATTGAGGAAAACAAATCTGGCCAAGTAATGATTATTACATACATTATAAAGGCTTTCACTTGCTCCTCGAAATCAACACATGGGGACTCATTGAGGTATATGGCCTATATGGCTTTTAACTTAGTTTTGTGTGAGAGGTGGCTATAGGATGTGCCTGTAAGGCCGAGCTTTAACTATCACTCAATGTAATGATTAACTGTGTATTGAATGTACTTAAACAATAACAGCATCTCTCCTAACCTGTCCTGTGTTGACAACACTTAAACGAACACTTTTTGGCTGACGACTCTGGCGCACTTGCCAGACATAAGTAATAAATGCAAATGTTCTCTTGTGCAGAAGAAACATGCTGTTTCCAGTCGTGCCCTTCACTGTAATGTTTCTCCATATGAACATTAATGCTTGGTCGCATTGCTTAGAACATTGCGTGTCATTATTATTATATATATATCCTGCTTCTCCCATGTCATTATCATTATATATATATATATATATATATATATATATATATATATATATATATATATATATATATATATATATATATATATATATATATATATCGTGCTCAAGTTCAAGTATGTTTATTGAGACAAGAAAGAAATATATCTCAAAGGGATAGAGTAGCTTATAGCTATTTCTACCTCCGCTATATCCTGCTTCTCCATCCTTCCTTCCAGTGTGGTGAGGTTCTCTGAGCCTCTGTAGCTCTTTACAGTAGGGAAACAAGTATATTTGCGCATATTCATCATTGAACTTTCTCTAGTTATAATTCTTTGTTATATTCTTAGATGCCAAGGGCGTTATCTTGAGGTTATCTTGAGATGATTTCGGGGCTTTTTAGTGTCCCCGCGGCCCGGTCCTCGACCAGGCCTCCACCCCAGGAAGCAGCCCGTGACAGTTGACTAACTCCCAGGTACCTATTTTACTGCTAGGTAACAGTGGCATTGGGTGAAAGAAACTCTGCCCATTGTTTCTCGCCGGCGCCTGGGATCGAACTCAGGACCACAGGATCACAAGTCCAACGTGCTGTCCGCTCGGCCGACCGGCTCCCGTATAGGCGTGCTCGAACCTGGGTCACACATTGGTTAATTTTAGCGTCTGGTAAAGCTTCTTTAAAGGCTCCTGAACGTTGTTGGAACATACCTGAATTTACTTGAGGGCCACTATCAAGGGTCTCCCCATTTACTGCAGACGCTGTTATGCACCTCAAACATCAGGCTTGAGATACTCTATTTAGAATTTTCTCATACTTGAAATACGTTCCATCATGTACTATTCGTAAGCTCTAATTGAGGAAGATATAGCCACCCCAAAAGGTGGCATAGGCATGAATAGCCCGTAACCTAAGGTGAAGTGCCGTGGGGTCTTCTCGTCACAGGTCTAACTGCATGCACCTGGGTTCAATGTGTATATGTGCGCGCGCGTGCACGTGACTGTCAACTCTCCACCGCTGCTTATGGTGCTGGTTGCATGATTAGGAAATAAAATAAGTGGCTGTAAATAGCTGTAAATTCTCCGCGTAGACTGTTGCGGTCCAGTTCTTAAACCACTTGTGCTATAGAAGACTACTGATATACACATTAAATTGTGTAACTAGCTCATTAAGATTGTCACTGTCTTAGTTAAATTAATCTGCAGTTGGGTTCCTGGAGCCATGGACTCGCAGACTCCGCGCTGTTGGGTAACGACTCTCACTTCATGGATAACGTTGAGAATTGCCTGAACTGGTTTTTCTCCGCGCCCGCTCCGATCCTCACCATCAACAATGGTCTTGATTCTTGTCATTCTGGCTACCCTTCCATTCTCTCACTTCACGCACTATTTATATTGTTCTCTCACTGTCTCTCTTGTTCTCTCTCGCACTCTCTCTTATAACAATACTAATCTTTATTCACAAGAATGTACAATGGGTTGGCGAGATTACATAAGATTGATATTTTTCTGTTTTGTTCTCTCATCACTATCCCTTGTGCTTTCATGCACTGTCTCTTAATTTTTAAATTGTTCTCTCACACTATAGTTCTTGTTCTCTCACACATTATCTTGTTCTCTCTTGTTCTCTCACTCTTGTTTTCTCACATTTTCTCTTTATTTTTTAACTAAGACCCTATATTATATATATATATATATATATATATATATATATATATATATATATATATATATATATATATATATATATATATATATATATATATATATATATATAAGGCCTGCCAAGGGAACATCAAGCTTAGAGTGAACTCATCTGAAGAAGAGTTTTGCTCCATTGGGAATAAACTTTATTTAGTACTGTTTCAGAATTAACATTGTTAATTAATAACTAGATGATTCTGGAGTCAACTGCGCGTCGGAACAGTCGTTCGGTCGGGATTGTTGCATTTCACGTGAATCAGTGTGTTGCAGGTGTTGAGCGACGTGTTGCAGGTGTTGAGCGACGTGTTGCAGGTGTTGAGCGACGTGTTGGAGGTGTTGAGCGACGTGTTGCAGGTGTTGAGCGACGTGTTGGAGGTGTTGAGCGAATATGTTCCAAATGCGTGTTATCCTAAGCATTAATGATCGCTGGCTGTTGACGGCAGAGCGCCCTGTGTTGCAGGTACCAACACCTGAGTGCAGCTGGTCAAGGTGGGGAATCTTGGGAACATTGATTTTATATACAGTAGGACCACCGACATGTTTACGGTGGTGAAGGCTTTGGTGTACTGAATAGTCCAGGCGGGCTGGCCGTCCTTAAGAGTGATGCGTACTGAAGGTGGGAGCGAAGTTGTGGTGTTTGTGAGGGTTTGTAAACCTCTGCTGTCGAGACGGTGTGAGATGCGTCTTGGGTCTGCACTATTCTTGGCTACCTCACTCCATAAGTTCCTTAACACTGTTTCTCTTGTTCTCTCACATGATCTCTTGTTCTCTCTCTTTCGATCTCGTGTTCTCTCTCTTGCTCTCTCTCTCTCTCTCTCTCTCTCTCTCTCTCTCTCTCTCTCTCTCTCTCTCTCTCTCTCTCTCTCTCTCTCTCTCTCTCTCTCTCTCTCTCTCTCTCTCTCTCTCTCTTGCATGATCTCTTGATCTCTTGTTTTCTAATGAGATCGCTCTTGTTTACCCTCACACAAGTACACGCACGCGCGCGCGCACACACACACACACACACACACACACACACACACACACACACACACACACACACACACACACACACACACACACACACACACATGCAAGGTGACGGAGAAGATCGTGTGAAAAAACTAGTAGAGCATCTGGAGCGAAAGAACTTTGTAACACATCACCAGCATGGGTTCCCGGATGGCGAATTTTGCCTCACAAGATTAATTGGTTTCTATGACCAGGCAACAAAAATCAGGCAAGAAAGAGAAGGATGGGCAAACTGCACACTTTTGGACTGCCAGGAAAGCCTTTGACACAGTACCTCATAGGAGAGTTGTGCACAAGTTGGAAATGCAGGCAGAAGTAAAATGGAAGGTACTCAATTGGATTAGAGATTACCTAAGCAAGAGAAGACAGACCTCACTCTAAGGGGGTGAGGTCTCAGAATGATGAGGCGTTACCAGTGAAGTCCCACAGGGTTCAGTTCTTGGATCTATCCTGTTTCTGATATATGTAAATAATCTCCCAGGGGGAATAAACTCGTTCATCTCAATGTTTGCTGATGATGCAACAATTATGAGGAGGATTAAGACCGAGGAAGATAGCAAGAGGCTACAAGGTGAAGGAATGGTCCAACAAATGGCTTCTAAAGTTCAATCCAAGTAAATGTAAGGTAATGAAACTAGGCAGAGGGAACAAAAGGCTAGACACGGGATACCGAATGGGAAACAAATTCCTCTACGAAACGAACAGAAAGATCTAAGAGTTGATATCACGGTACAAGATGATGGGGAAAGTAACTTCCAACTTCAGAAAAAGAGAAAAACTTAAGAGTGGACATAACTTGAGATCTATCACCTGAGGCACACGTCGGCAGAATAACGAGACCAACATATATGCTGCAAACGTCCGGTTATTCTTCAGCAACTTTGACAAAGATCATTCCAAGCGCTGTATACATCCTTGGTGAGACACTATTGAATATGCTGTCCCAGTATGGAACCCCCCGGCCTGAAGAAACAAAACTAGAAATTAGAAAGCTAAGGGGGACTGAGATTTGAAGAAAGACTGAGGGAACTGGACTTCACTACTTCGGAGGAATGAAGGAATATGACAGACATGATAACGGCATAAAATATCCTGAGGGGAATTGACAAAGTAGATATAGAAGCAATGTTCAAATTAAGGAGCAGTAGAACGAGAGGACATAATTGGAAACTAGAAACACAGATGAGTCACAGGGATGTCAGAAGGAATTTTTTCAGTCTCGGAGTCGGACTAGATAAAGAAGTTGTCGAAGCCAATTTGATTCACAATTTTAAATGTAAATATAAGAAAAACGAGTGAAAAGTCACTTCATTGAACTAATGATGGTTGGAAGACAAGGCTTAAGGCCAAATGGTCGACTCTGCAAGCACAACTAGGCGAGATCAACTAGGTATGTACACGCACGCACGCACACTGTGTATTTGCCTTGCTCCCTCGGGCTCTCTCTCTCGCTTTGCTTTCGTGCCGTCCAGTTTTTATATTGCAGCTCTTTTGTTTTGTGAGGCTACAGGTCTTACGTGTGGGTCAGACACAACACTGAATTACTGTCTATTGTTCTCTCCTCTCTCTTGTGGCTGACTCTTGTCACAACCACGGTCCAGTCCCTAGTCCCCTCACTCTCCCCTCACTCCCTCACACTTCCTCTCTCTCCCTCATTCTCACCTCACAACCTAGTGTATTCACCACTGGGTGTTCTCGTGTAGTGTAATTACCTAAGTGTAGTTACAGGATGAGAGCTACGCTCGTGGTGTCCCGTCTTCCCAGTACTCTTTGTCATATAACGCTTTGAAATAACTGACGGTCTTGGCCTCCACCACCTTCTCACCTAACTTGTTCCAACCGTCTACTGCTCTGTTTGCGAAAGTGATTTTTTTTATATTCCTTCGGCAGCTTTGTTTACTTAGTTTATATCTATGACCTCTTGTTCTTAAAGTTCCAGATCTCAGGAAATCTTCCCTATCAATTTTATCGATTCTGCCCGAAACGCTTTGCGTAATAGTGGCTTTAGGCATTGTATGTACTAGCTCTATCTATAAATTCATCAATTTTTGTATCACCCCTTGTATGTATGTATTTTAGCTAAATAAACATTTGAATTTGTTTCCTGTTACTATTTTGTACGTAAGTGATCATATCACCTCTTTCTTCTACCTTCTAGTTCTGCCATTTTTAATGCTTCAACATTTGTTTTCCTCCACCTGGGCTTTACGAGACTCGAACCACGGTCCCCCACGCGTGTGAGGACGAAGCTCTATCCACTCAGCTATGAGTAATCGTAAAATAGGATGTCTGTCTGTCTGCCTGTCCCAAGCTGGGAGCCAGACGCCTGGGGTTAGCCTCACGAAACTTTGCACGATGTGTGAGAGTATGGCGGGTGTCGCATGGTCCTCGCTGGGGTCGATCCTTAAGCCCTTCTTGAGAAGGATCCTCTCCTACTCAGATTCCCAGCGACTCCTATAACGTTGTGTAAAGTGTATACACCATTGAGTGTCCATATTTTAAATTACAGCGAATGTTGTCTAATGTTAGTTTCCCTTAATCAGCGCAGGCAGACGTGTGTTGTGTGTGGAGGAGTACTTGTCGCGTGACCTCGTGTGACCTGACGCTGCCGGTCACCATGGCCAACCAACACCACAGTCACCCCTCGCCCGACTCCAGTCACCTTCAAGGTCAGTGTCTCCTTCATTCAAAATAAAGTAACTACGCGACCGGGAGTTGCGAGGCGTCGCAGGCAACTGAGGAAGTCTACAAGGGATTTATAGAACATATCTGGCTGGCGTCCTTCACATACTAGTACCTGAAGCCACCGTTGGTTCTTCACATACTAGTACCTGAAGCCACCGTTGGTCCTTCACATACTAGTACCTGAAGCCACCGTTGGTCCTTCACATACTAGTACCTGAAGCCACCGTTGGTCCTTCACATACTAGTACCTGAAGCCACCGTTGGTCCTTCACATACTAGTACCTGAAGCCACCGTTGGTCCTTCACATACTAGTACCTGAAGCCACCGTTGGTCCTTCACATACTAGTACTAGAAGCCACCGTTGGTCCTTCACATACTAGTACTAGAAGCCACCGTAGGAGAATGTACAACATGTGAACTATTGCGCAAAAAGTCCACGTTTTCTGCTATTCATTTTTTAAAGGAGCCGATAAAGAAGGGAACTATATAGCCTAACTTTCCCCTAGGCCTAGTAGTGTACATGTACTAAATTTGGCTTCCGATAATGTATATTAGGACCAGGATTGTTTGTGTAGACTCGTGTACCTGCTGGGTTAAATTACTATTAGGCTGTTATAGTACTTTTCCTGACTTTTAGTATACCAATAGTATAAAATGTGGACCTTTGGAAGTACGACAGTCTATATTTTGAATATTCCACTATAGTCACTATATGTACTATCATTTTTCCAAGAGGGGTTTATGTGTTTATAGTAGTGTATATGAGTAAATAAGAGGCTGTGATTGCTTGTGGTAGTGTACATAGCTGGGGGCAGGAAACCTGTAGGTAATACCTGTACAACTAACTGTAGTTGGAAGAGCTCTTGGTTTATAAAACAAATAGGCTGAAACTTCCATTCTTTCTTGTGAGTTCTTAAGGTAAGAATGTACAGTAAGGTGCGTGGCTCTATATAGGTAAAGGGACAACGAGTGAATATACCTGTACCAAAGTTACCGTATGGCCTTATTGACACCAGGTCCTGTACAGGGTAATCTCATTTGAAACTGCAGGAGCAGGAAGTGTTTTGTTAGTGCTGTGAGCACAGCCTATCGCTGAGCCTTGCAGTACGGGCACCCGTCACACGAAGGCCCATCACCAACAATACTCCTACAGTTATGTCTATACAAATTTTCGTTGTATGAATTTTTATTAAAAATACTTTAGATTTCTTTAGAAATCTTTAGATTTTTTTTTAGAAGTATTTAGGTTTCTTTCTAATTTTGTCTAACGTATGTGATGTTTAATGTCACAGTAACTTGCTTATGATATCTGTGAGGTAGTCTGTGTTGTTAATAGTATAGTGCAAGCCCTCTCCTCACACGATGTGCAGGGAGGGAAGGTGATGTGTCCTTCATTTGGTGTTGTGGACAGTTTGGTCGTGACTGTGAGGGGCGGGAGGAGGAGGCTCGCTGTAGGAAGAGCTATATGTGGGGGTCTGAGTGTAAGGGTCTGTCTGTGATCCCTGATACTGCTCTTAGAGTATTTAGGACCAGCACTCCCGCATGTATTTCAGGGGAGCTGGTCATACTGGGCGACAGTGTTAGTGGGTCTGGTGAGAGGGAACACGTAGCCTAATACTCATCAACAGCGAGGCAAGTCATGTAGGAATACCAGGCAATGACATTATATACGAAGCAACAAAACTTGAATCAAATTTGGGAATGTAGACATGCACACACCACAGTTTTAGTGTAGATTAAGACAATAATTAGAGATAGAGCAATGAGATATACATGAGTATATATCTCATGAGTATATATATATATATATATATATATATATATATATATATATATATATATATATATATATATATATATATATATATATATATATATATATATATATATAAGCTAGGTGAGTACATGAACAGTGACGACAACACAGCAGCTGCAACATGAGGATCACCACCTGCAGGGCGGTAAAAGAATTAAGCTAACTTTGAACCAGTTATAGGTGTAGGCAGCCTACACCTATAAGTGTAGGCTGGCTTCACCTATAAGTGTAGGCTGGCTACACCCACAGTAACACCACCGGGGTAGCCTGGGTGTAGGCTGGCTACACCCACAGTAACACCACCGGGGTAGCCTGGGTGTAGGCTGGCTACACCCACAGTAACACCACCGGGGTAGCCTGGGTGTAGGCTGGCTACACCCACAGTAACACCACCGGGGTAGCCTGGGTGTAGGCTGGCTACACCCACAGTAACACCACCGGGGGTAGCCTGGGTGTAGGCTGGCTACACCCACAGTAACACCACCGGGGTAGCCTGGGTGTAGGCAGGCTACGCCCACAGTAACACCACCGGGGGTAGCCTGGGTGTAGGCTGGCTACACCCACAGTAACACCACCGGGGGTAGCCTGGGTGTAGGCAGGCTACGCCCACAGTAACACCACCGGGGTAGCCTGGGTGTAGGCTGGCTACACCCACAGTAACAGTAGCCTATACCACAGCTGGTATATGAGTTTGAGCGTTGCCTGGCTTGCTCTCTTATAAGTCTTCATATAAGCAACTGTGAGGAGTCAGCCATTGTTGAGTCCCGTATATAATTTGTGAAATATTTAGCACATAAACATTTAACACTAATTGTATGTTACAGCGAGTTAATATATGGCAGAAATATTATCGCTGTGAGGTTTGTCAGAATGTTTCTGGTGTGTGTGCGCGCGCGCCCCTAGCCACCAATATCTGACGCAATGATGGCCAGGTGTCTGCCCACCCTAGCAGTCACGTGTGAAGTGAGCAGATGTTGAAGCCAAGAATAATTTGTGGTGTTTCGTTTCAGTTGTAGGTAGTGGTTGGCTGGCCCTGGTAACATTCATAGCCTAGTCATTTTTTTCTTCTGTCATCTATGGATAAAGTTAGAGATCTGTTAAACATATAGTTCAGTGCTTTATTAAATAAAATCAACCACAGAAGGTAATTGTAGTAGTTTTAAAATGCTAATCCAACCTTCATCCATAAATGCACACTTACATCTGTCCTACATTAACAGTATTCGAGGTATCTCTTGCATAGTGACATTATTGTGGGTTTCAAGTGTTGTAAACGCACTTCTGATCAGTATATATATATATATATATATATATATATATATATATATATATATATATATATATATATATATATATATATATATATATATATATGTGTGTATATATGTATATATATATATATGTCGTACCTAATAGCCAGAACGCACTTCTCAGCCTACTATTCAAGGCCCGATTTGCCTAATAAGCCAAGTTTTCATGAATTATTGTTTTTTCGTCTACCTAACCTACCTAACCTAACCTAACCTAGCTTTTTTGGCTACCTAACCTAACCTTACCTATATATATAGGTTAGGTTAGGTTAGGTAGGGTTGGTTAGGTTCGGTCGTATATCTACGTTAATTTTAACTCCAATAAAAAAAAATTGACCTCATACATAGAGAAAAGGGTTGCTTTATCATTTCATAAGAAAAAAATTATAGTAAATATATTAATTCAGGAAAACTTGGCTTATTAGGCAAATCAGGCCATGAATAGTAGGCTGAGAAGTGAGTTCTGGCTACTAGTACGACATATATATATATATATATATATATGTATATATATATATATATATATATATATATATATATATATATATATATATATATGTGTATATATGTATATATATATATATATATATATATATGTATATATATATATATATATATATATATATATATATATATATATATATATATATATATATATATATATATATATATATATAAATTAGTATATTTTGGTAGCAGTCTTTCTTGTGAACATATATTGTTAAATATAACCGAAAAGGTAAGATTAATACTTCTAACACGAATTTTCTCAATATTTCTTATATTTCTCTTCACTGTCGATGGTAATTGAAAAATAAATTCTCCAAAATTAATTTTTATTCCTAGTCTGACGCCTGAACGCGTTTCATAATAACTTATTACATTTTCAAAGCCTTTAGTTTACACACACAACTGTAACCTGTAAACACACAAAATACATCCATACTTATACTCGCATTTGGGTGAGGTGATATAGTACAAAAGTTTTGGGTGAGGTGATTGACATTTGCACATGATAAAACACGAACCAATAAGTATAAAAACATAAGAATGGAAGTAACTGCAGAAGGCCTATTGGCCCATACTTTCTCTTGATGCTTCTATATATTTTTTTTTTTTTTTTTTTGAGATATATACAAGAGTTGTTACATTCATGTACAGCCACTAGTACGCGTAGCGTTTCGGGCAGGTCCCTGGAATACGATCCCCTGCCGCGAAGAATCGTTTTTTCATCCAAGTACACATTTTACTGTTGCGTTAAACAGAGGCTACAGTTAAGGAATTGCGCCCAGTAAATCCTCCCCGGCCAGGATACGAACCCATGACATAGCGCTCGCGGAACGCCAGGCGAGTGTCTTACCACTACACTACGGAGACTGTAAGATACGGAGATATTGGTTCGGGGTCTTGACGTGGGTTCTGCTTGGTGTCTTCAGACACCAAGCAGAACGCCCTGAAGGAAACCAACGTTGTCTGTGCCTTCAAATGCCCACTTGGGGACTGTAAGCCCCAAAGAACTCAGTATATAGGCAAGACGACAACGTCTCTGTCCAGGCGATTAACAGTGCATAAACAGGGCTTCATCAAGGAACATATAATCTCCTCTTACAACCAGACCATCACCAGAAAAATATTAACAAGCAACACAGAAATCATCGATAGATACAGTGATAGCAGGAGGCTCGACATCAGCGAGGCACTACACATCAAAAAGTCAACACCAGCAATCAACAGCCAATTAATTAACTTAATGCACAACTATATTCTACCCACTTCAAGACCCCGAACCAATATAGAAGCATCAAGAGGAAGTATGGGCCAATAGGCTTTCTGCAGTTACTTCCATTCTTACGTTTATATACCAATTGGTTCGTGTTCTATCATGTGCAAATGTCAATCACCTCACCCAAATCTTTTGTACCATATCACCTCACCCAAAACTTTTGTACCATATCACCTCACCCAAAGCGAGTATAATTATGGATGTATTTTGTGTGTTTACAGGTTACAGTTGTGTGTGTGTGTAAACTAAAGGTTTTGAAAATGTAATAAGTTATTACGAAACGCATTCAGGCGTCAGAGTAGAAATAAAAATTATTTTTTCAATTACCATCGACAGTGAAGAGAAATATAAGAAATATTGAGAAAATTCGTGTTAGAATTATTAATCTTACCTTTTCGGTTATATTCAACAAGATATGTTTACAAGAAAGACTGCTACCAAAATATACTATTATATATATATATATATATATATATATATATATATATATTATATATATATATATATATATATATATATATATATATATATATTATATATATAGATATTATATATATATAGATATTATATATATATATTATATATATATATATATATATATATATATATATATATAATATATATTATATATATATATATATATATATATATATATATATTATATATAATATTACAATGTCAGACCACGGAGGAAAATGAAACAGGAATTTCCTTAAGTACTTTCGTATATTAAATACATCTTCAGAAGGAATTCCTTCTGAAGATGTATTTAATATACGAAAGTACTTAAGGAAATTCCTGTTTCATTTTCCTCCGTGGTCTGACATTGTCACATTCTTAATCACGTGTTTATTTTCGTGATATACACACATATATATATATATAATATATATATATATATATATATATATATATATATATATATATATATATATATATATATATATATATATATATATATATATATATATGCAATTGACGATCACAAAACACTGATCATTTTATGCGGAAAATCCACAGAGAAATATGAAATGAGGTGAACGTTTCGGCTTTGTTAAAGCCTTTGTCAACACCAGACTGACTCAAGTCAGTCAGTCTGGTGTTGACAAAGGCTTTAACAAAGCCGAAACGTTCACCTCATTTCATATTTCTCTGTGGATTTTCCGCATATATATATATATATATATATATATATATATATATATATATATATATATATATATATATATATATATATATATATATAATATATATATATATAAATGTGTGTATAAAAATATACACACATCTTTGTCCCCTCCTATTTTGACAGTGTAAGATAGCTGCTATAAAAACTAGTGTGTTATTAAGCCATTAATCACTAAGGGTGATTAAGATGCTTTCACAAGCTCAGGTTATAGTTACATCACATACATTGTATAAGTGATGCATTACATAGTCAGTTTTGGGTACAAGTCCAGTATATCATCAAGTGGTCCAATATTCATATAGTATTTACAGAGTTCAGCATACCTCAGCCCCAGGGAAGGGGAGGGGGTGAGAGGGCGTAAGTCAGTCAATATGGGACATTCTACAATATAATGTTCAAGTGAGTGCATCTTTTCTGTCACAAAGTTGACACATTGTGTACTCGACATTTGGGTTTTGAGAAAGCTGCCAGATACGTGTATATATCAGGTGTATTCTGGCCACTATACCACCACATTGTCGAGTTCTTGCTCTATTAGTCCCATATATAAATGTATCCTCACGATATTTATCATAATGTTTAATGTTACAACTTTCAGGTCTTTGTGAATTTGTTAGGTTAGTAAAGTTTTCATCAGATATTTATGTATTCTCTTTTTCACTGTTAATAAAACTCCCATATTAAATTATATTAGTGGTCTGCTACAGGCTGTCTTTGCAAGCATATCAACAGTGTCATGCCTGAGATGCCAACATGTGATGGTATCCAAAGGAGTTTAATTTCAAATCTGTTTTCTTTAGCAGCTAAAACATTTATTCGAATATCACTGACTATTTTCTGGGTGTTACTATGTGCGATCAACACCAGGCGTGCACTCTGCGAGTCACAGTATATAAGCCCACTGTCTTTGTATATATGCTGGTTAGCATTGTAAATGTGTGGCCACGTCTGTGGTAGAAAAAAAGCAGCCTAGCCAGACCGGTTAAGCAAGGCCGCAAACAACACTTAAGGAAAAGTTTGAGGTTCATTATGGGTGAAGGAGTGATTGTGTTGCGTGGAGGCAGTATCATCACCGCTGTCACACCTGCACCACGCCACCTTCTAAGTCTTATGCAAAGGTTCGTTACACTTCAGTTTCTCATTATATTTCACATGTTTTGTATTTACAAAAATTGTTGTAAATGAAGCTGGCTTGAAGTAATGAACCAGAAGTATATATACATATATTTTGTATTATTTATTTATATATACAAGAGTTCCCACATTCTTGTACAGCCATCAGCACGTGCAGCGTTCCGGGCAGGTCCGTAATCCTAATTTTCCCCGGAACACGACCCGCCAAATCGTTTAACAACCAGGTACCCATTCACTGCTGGGTGAACAGAGGCTAAAGTTAAAGATTTGTGCCCAGTCAATCCTCCCCGACCAGGATACGAACCAAGGCCAAAGCGCTTGCGAAACGCCAGGCGAGTGTGTTACCAATGAGCCACGGGGACTATAATACTGATCTATTCAAACAGCTGAGATTTTATCAGGTTTTGACACTAATTTTTTTAAATAAATAAATTATACATACATACATATATATATATATATATATATATATATATATATATATATATATATATATATATATATATATATATATATATATATATATATATATATATATATATATATATATATATATATATATATATATATATATATATATATATATATATATATATATATATATATATGTATATATATATGTATAATTTTTCTAATGTATATATATATATATATATATATATATATATATATATATGTCGTACCTAGTAGCCAGAACGCACTTCTCAGCCTACTATGCAAGGCCCGATTTGCCTAATAAGCCAAGTTTTCATGAATTAATTGTTTTTCGACTACCTAACCTACCTAACCTAACCTAACTTTTTCGGCTACCTAACCAAACCTAACCTATAAAGATAGGTTAGGTTAGGTTAGGTAGGGTTGGTTAGGTTCGGTCATATATCTACGTTAATTTTAACTCCAATAAAAAAAAATTGACCTCATACATAATGAAATGGGTCGATTTATCATTTCATAAGAAAAAAAATAGAGAAAATATATTAATTCAGGAAAACTTGGCTTATTAGGCAAATCGGGCCTTGAATAGTAGGCCAAAAAGTGAGTTCTGGCTACTAGGTACGGCTACTATATATATATATATATATATATATATATATATATATATATATATATATATATATATATATATATATATATATAATGTGTGTGTGTGTGTAAATCACGAAAATTAACACGTTATACAAAAATGTGACAGTGTCAGACAACGGAGGAAGAATTGAAACAGAAATTTCCTTAAGTACTTTCGTATATTAATACATCTTCAGAAGGAATGATTTACAAGTCAAGTATTGGACATATATATAGGCAGGAGAGAGAGGTGAAGTGAGGTGAGGTACAATGAAAAACGAATTGTAATTAGGTGGATACAAATAAGATGAAAAATAAGATATAAGATCAAATAAGATATATATGTGTGTGTTAATGAAATAACTAAACAAAGGCGGCAGAGAGGGTGCTAGGTGCTAGTATTAGTATGTGTGGCAGTGGTGGTGTGGGTGTAAGTAAAGGTCCAATACTGGTGGAGGTTTTTAATTTTGAATTTGCATATGTGAAAAATATTTAGGATTTTTCTTTATCTATTTTCTATCATTATATATATATTTTTATATTATCTATTTATTATCTATATATATTTTCTATCGTGTTTCTATCGGATCTCATCTCCCCCCCTCCTTTTTTCTAGTGTCGTCAGGGTTCAGTTCCTTCAGTCGCTCTTCATAGCCTAGCCTCCCAACTCGTGTGTGTGTGTGTCTGTGTATTCACCTAGTTGTGCTTGCGGGAGTTGAGCTCTGCTCTTTTGGCCCGCCTCTCAACTGTCAGTCAATCAACTGTTTCTAACAACTAATATTTTTTTCACCCCCCCCCCCATCACCCAGGAAGCAGCCCGTAACAGCTGTCTAAACTCTCATGTACCTATTTACTGCTAGGTAAGAGGAGCATTAGAGTTAAAGAAACTGCCCATTTGTTTCTGCCTGCGCCGGGAATCGAACCCGGGCCATAGGATTGCGAGTCCTGTGTGCTGTCCACTCAGCTAACAGACCCTTAAAACTAATACGGATAAGGATATAAGGATAAAAAAAAGTGTGTGTGTGCACGCAGATACTGTATATCTAATTAGTAGGCCAACTATGTAAATCATCTCCTGGGTGCAGCTCCCAGAAACTGTAACTCAAAGATATCTTTTCACTGCTAGGTGAACAGTGGCATGAGAAGAAATGAAACACTGCCAATTTGTTTTCACTGTGGCCAGGATTCGAGCCCTCTCCATCATTCCCACTCTCTCCCTTCTCCCTTTCTCTCTCGACTCTGTCTCTCACCACTCCTGCCGACATGACCCGTCAGCAGGCAGCCGGCCACGTGCCTCCCTCAACCCTGTACTGCACACACCCGGGAGCTGGTGTAGGCCGCTTCCAGCAACAGCTGCCTTGCCCAGGGGGTGGATATCTGGCCAGTCACCCACTGGCTGACATGGGCACATACCCGACAGGAATCAGGGGCTAAGTTGGGTGAGGCTGGCCCAAGTGTCTGGTCTCCATCCTCGAACAGATTAGCAATATGACAGACATTCTAATTTATATATATTGATGTTGGTGCTTTATGTGTTAGTTTTGGGTGAGGTGTGACTGTGATATTAGTGCCTTGTCCTTCAGGGAGTGGCGGTGGCGGCGGGGACTTTCTCGACTCTTTCTTCGACACCGTGGACGCCGGCAAGCAGACTCAGGTACGCTCACCAGCACATTACTCTATGTGTGTGTGTGTGTGTGTATGTGTGTGTGTGTGTGTGTGTTTGTGTTCTGTCATATATACCTGTATTTGCTGTCATTACTATTATTATTATTATTTACTTATATATGTATCATGGATACGTATGGCGCCAAGAACTGGAGAACTGGAGCCTCCTGTTGTCAGGTGACATGTATCCTGTCATGTATACTTGTATGCGCCTCTGTAGCAGCACTACACTGAAACAGTCCTCAAGGATACTTACTCAACACTACACATTACACAATAGTGGTGTATAATGTTCACCATAGGGGGTGGACGAGTCTTACATGCAACACTACACATATACCATGGGGGAGGGGGTGTTATTTGGTGTATTTGTCCAAATATGTGTCACATTAACCAGTAACCGCCTATTTCGTTTATAAATCATAATTGTTCCAATTTTAATGCATTATTTTGAGTTTAATCTGGAATTGATATTCTCGTATTTCTCTCTACTGTTATGTAGCCCTTTACTCATTTACTTGCATCATACTAATACTGTATATCATTACTGACAATGCAAAATAATGTCACTGATATGAACTGCGTTTTGCGTGTTCACGAAAGTTTCTCAAGTAGTTGGAGAATAACACTTGTGCAAATTTTACCAGCGCGTCTAGATATATATCCTAGTAAGTGCACATATACTATGTCAAGTATTCTCTTAGAGTAGAGTGTGTGTCATAAGGTAAGCGGTGTTTCCCACCAACAAGGTAAACTTGAAGGATAACATTAGTACTTTTACTTTTAGCAACCATCCATATCACCAGGACAACACCGCTCCTGTGCCAGGTAAGTCCACTACGGGCTCACCATAGCCCGTGCTACTTGCCCCGCTCCTGTGACAGGTAAGTTATGGGCTCACCATAGCCCGTGCTACTTGCTCCGCTCCTGTGACAGGTAAGTTATGGGCTCACCATAGCCCGTGCTACTTGCCCCACTCCTGTGACAGGTAAGTTAGGGGCTCACCATAGCCCGTGCTACTTGTTCCGAGTAGCTGAATCTATAACAACAACATCCATATCAATCCTAGAACTAATAAATCCTAGTTGTGAGGTTAGACAGGCAGCGCAAGGTACCACTACACATGCTTCTCCACCAGACCAGGCGGCACCCCGCACTAGGTGTTGGTACCAGGCTCTCCAGTGAGCAACAGCCGGGGGTGTGACCTGACCTGCCCTCGAGCGAGTCCCCTGGTGACACAAGGGGAGACTAGTGCTTGTGGCACTCTAGTGCCAGTGTACTCAACACCCGCTCCAGGCACCGGTACTTCCAGACGCCAGTCTTTACCATTGTCACTCTCGGCACGTACAAGTCGCCCGAATATTCTTATTACATCAAGCTTTTCCACTAGACCTGAGGCGCCAGCAGACCTGTGGCGCCAGAAGGACTGGTACCGGCAGACCTGTGGTCCCAGCAGATCTGTGGTGCCAGCAGACATGTGGTGCCACCAGATCTGTGGTACCAGCAGATCTGTGGCGCCAGCAGACCTGTGGCGCCAGCAGACCTGTGGCGCCAGCAGACCTGACGTGTCAGCAGATCTGTGGTGCCAGCAGACCTGTGGTGCCAGCAGACCTGTGGCGCCAGCAGACCTGTGGTGCCAGCAGACCTGTGGTGCCAACAGACCTGTGGTGCCAGCAGACCTGTGGTGCCAGCAGACCTGTGGTGCCAGCAGACCTGTGGTGCCAGCAGACCTGTGACGCCAACAGACCTGTGATGCCAGCAGACTTGTGGTGCCAGCAGACCTGTGATGGCAGCAGACATGAGGTGCCAGCAGACATGAGGTGCCAGCAGACCTGTGGTGCCAGCAGACATGAGGTACCTGGAGTCCTGTGGTGCCAGCAGACCTGTGAACCCCAGGTCGCTTGTCAAAGATCCATGAGAGAAAGAAGGAAGAAAGAAGAGAGAGAAGAAAGAAGAGAGAGAAGAAAGAAGAGAGAAGAGGATAAGATAAGACCAAGCTGAGACACGATGCCTAGTGTCCCTTGCTGGTGTCAGCATCATTGCATGGAGCGTAATTGCAAGACAGGACCCTTTGCCTTAACTGGCCGCCGCTACTGCAAGCATGTTGCTCTGTTGAGTGATGCCCCCTGTGTCGTGCAGACTTGATGTGGCTGTCAGAAGTGGCTCTCTGAAGGAAGCGTGCTGGAGCAACTGGGAGGAAAAAAGTAGGATGGGATTTCTACGGCGCCAACTATATGGAGGTCTGGAAACTTGTAGTCCCTATAGCTGTGGCCCAATGTACGTCTCTCATGGTGACTGACGTAGGGCCAATTACAGATCAGCTGGGACAACCGAATTCCACGGTCCTGTGCGCAGTACAAGAAGTAACGGCTTCCTGGTTGGCCAAGTCGTGCAGTACGTTAACGACAGAGGCAGTTGTGTTGAGGAAATGTGGTACAGGACTATCTACAAGACCGGGCAGTGACGTCGTCCAGCCAGAGACAACGGATGTCGGTCTACGTACTTAATCTTTAGAGTAGGATGTTGTATATTTGTTTAGCTAGGATGTATTTTTATGTTGATAAAGTTGTCGCTCACAACCTACTTGCTTTATCAGCGTTGCACAAACTTTATTTTAGGGGAGATATAACACCGTAAAGGTGTTTTGTTTAGTTTGAATTTAATATTTACACAGAGTACATGAGTCACAGACAAGTTTTGAGAGGCGCCAGGTTGGCGGCCCCTAGGAATTAAGAAACTCACACCTCTAAGCGTTAATGACCTCAAGTCGACCTGAGGTCAGCTCGTGCGAATTTCACCTTGCTTCTGCTAATCTGATAATTGTAGCCTGATACCCGGGTAGGTCCGTCAAACAAGCCGACGTTTAAGGAGTGGCTTGGCAGAGGGCCTGGGGCTATCTACTTGTGGGCGGAGTTAGCTAGTTGGTCCCCAAATAAATACTCGGGGAGCTGTAGATTCGAGAGGAATAAGCAATAGGACAATAGAGACAGCACAGCAGAACAGAAGACAGCAGCCGAGATAGGCTGTCAGCCGGATGGAGCTGGACAGTCTCTGTCAACTGCAGACCCTCTCCTTCCCCCCCCCCATCCCCTCTCTAACCAGCTGTATGCAGATACTTGGTGAGTTGAACATGAAAGGTGACTTATTTCGTGTACTAAGATGTGTGATCTCTAGGGACAGACAGCTGTAGTGACGCAAAGTTCTGTGTGGCGGCTCACATTGTTTATCTGGACATAATGAACCTTCAGTTCGCTGGCTTGAATTCTGATATTTATCATGCTAAATAAATACTTGATTCACTTACTTCTAATTTGATTTTAATTGTGTTCCCGAGATCTTGGGATTTCTGATATAATATGCAACCTAGAGTGTAGAGTGCTCTTGAGTTAGGGACTAAAAGATTCTTGCATGGAACATGGTTCCTGTTGACACATGCTAATAACATCTTTAGATACACTATGACATGGTATTAGATGCCATGGAAGACAAACAAAACGCTGATGTAATTTACACAGATTTCGCAAGAGCCTTCGACAAATGTGACCATGGTGTTATTGTACACAAATTGCGTTCCAAAGGAATTACTGGAAAAATAGGCAGATTGACTACAATTTCCTGACTAACAGAACCCATTGTGTAATAGTCAACAATATAAAATCCGGACCATCAACCGTGAAGAGCTCAGTCCCCCAAGGTACTGTGTTTGTTCTTTTAAGACAAACAGTAGACTCAGTCAGCCTCTGCGGGGCATAAGAAATTATATCAACCATATTGTTTATGAACTCATTCCAATTCGAGAAATTAAGGTTATTATTCAATATTTTACTCATCAATTGATCGGGTTCAAATACCAATGTAATTTCCATTCATTTTGAATAGGAATCCAATCACCTTAAAGTGATAAGTCAACACGAATCTAATTTGGTTAATTATCTTTGAAAAGTGGTTTGGCAACTAAGTCAAGGTCAGCCTCTCAGCTCGAGACGTGAGTTTCAGTTAGTGTGGTCTGGGGCCGCAGCAGGGCAGGACAGGTCCCTCCCTGAGACTAGGTCGCTACACCTGACCTGGGCTCTTGGTATTTAAAGTGAAGTTTTTATTTTCTTCAATTGAGATACAGTTCTGGTGATCCATTTTTTATAATTGCCTTAGATAGGAAGTTTTCAGTTAGGGAGTGTTCTCCTTTTTTTATAACTTTTACGATTAATAATTGAAGTGATCTCTGTTGTTTAGTGGAATTGTTCCTCCATTTATGCTACCCCACACCGTCACCAGGGCTGGACTGAGGCTACGGCAGCAACTTTCGCCAACATTAGAGTCTTTAATTAACGGCGGGTAGTTAGGAGGCAGATATAAATTCTGGCCCCTGTTACAAGACAACGGGTGTGTCATAGATGGAAACAACATGTGTGTCATAGATGGAAACAACGGGTGTGGCATAGATGGAAACAACGGGTGTGTCATAGATGGAAACAACAGGTGTGTCATAGATGGAAACAACGGTTGTGGCATAGATGGAAACAACGGGTGTGGCATAGATGGAAACAACGGGTGTGTCATAGATGGAAACAACAGGTGTGTCATAGATGGAAACAACGGGTGTGGCATAGATGGAAACAACAGGTGTGTCATAGATGGAAACAACAGGTGTGTCATAGATGGAAACAACAGGTGTGTCATAGATGGAAACAACGGTTGTGGCATAGATGGAAACAACGGGTGTGGCATAGATGGAAACAACGGGTGTGTCATAGATGGAAACAACAGGTGTGTCATAGAGGGGAAACATGTGTGTCATAGATGGAAACAACGGGTGTGGCATAGATGGAAACAACGGTTGTGGCATAGATGGAAACAGGTGTGCCATAGATGGAAACAACGGGTGTGGCATAGATGGAAACAACGGGTGTGTCATAGATGGAAACAACGGGTGTGGCATAGATGGAAACAACGGGTGTGTCATAGATGGAAACAACGGGTGTGTCATAGATG